CCCGTTTGTAGGCTTTGGTCAAGCATTGGTGTAGCCTGTAGCATTGTGTCTTAGGGTCGTCCCCTTTTAGGCTTTGGTGAAGGGTTTGTCTATCCTGTAGCATTGTGTCTACAGTGGTAAGATTACTGTTTTCCTTATGTCATTCAAATATGTCTTTTATGTCTAACTGATTTAGTCAATGTAGTGGTTCAAAAGAAGGTAGTACTAGCTCAAATAATGAAAGCATGTCAAAATATTTTCAAAATGATAAAGATGAAATTGATCAAGATTTTGCATCTGTATCAAATGATTTTAATTCAAAAGAAGTTCAAATTGAACAAAAACTTCAAAATTGGACTATTCCAAAGGTAGACAAAAGTTCTATTTATGAAATAGGAAAATTTGATTTTACTCAAAATTATATTATCAAAACTTTGGAGCAAACTATTCCTATTAAGGAACAGATTACCGACGTGATTTTCTTTGAATGAAACGTTGCCTTACATAAATATGAGGCCTAAGATGGTTGTTTAACTTGCCTATTGATTGAAAACCAACTATATTTTTAAGAGAAAATTTCAAATGTGAGAGATTAAGTATCGGTCATTTCAAAACTACGATACAAAGTTTAAAACTTCAAAAATCGTATATTAATTAAATTTCATTTATGAAATAATTAATTAAAAATATATTTTCTAAATTAAATATATTAAGGTATTCGGTCACAATTGTCAAATTAATTGGTTACAAATTATTTTTTGATCATGAATAAAATTTTTTACAGGTCACAAATTATTTCACAGTTACAGATAAAAAAATTTATTGATCCCAAATCACAAATTTTATAATTTACAATTTATTACACGGTAAAAATTTATCAAATTATTGGTTACAAATTAACAAATTTTTAGGTTACATATTATTTATTGGTCACAATCAACCAAATAATTTGTGATCACTACCTTACCGTTGTCTCTAGTCGCTACAGTTGGCGCTACCTTCAACAAATTACCATTTTCAACTTCAAAACCACCACCACCGACAAATCACCATTGTCAACTACAAAACTACCACCAGTGTTAAGTGCCAACACCACCACCACCACCATCTTACCATCAACGTCACGGCCAGCAGGACCAGTACCACCACCTCCTGTACCAAAAATCACAACCACCATCTCCACCACACCACAACCACTAAAAAAAATCCCCAACCCGCTGTCGTCGTCGTCACATCACTACCGTCGCCTTATCAAATCCACAGCAGACTGTAGTCTACAACCGCGATGCAGCAATAAGCCGTGTGTATGTCATGTGCGAGGCGTCGAGTAAAGAGCACAGTGCCATGCCTAGTTGCTGTAGCAACGTCGCACACAAGGACGCTGTCGTCGCCTGCTATGTGCGGTGTATCGTCGCTTGCTGTGTGCGATGTTGCACTGCAAGTATACGATGTCAAGTTTTATAATATAAAATCAAGTAAGGATGTTGAACCTATAGGGATTGATGTTTAATTCCTACTAAATATTATAATTATGTTAGCCTCTATTTTAGAATCAATATTTTATACTATCCAAAGATGGATGTTGTGAAAAATTCAACTAAATCAACGTAAGTTATATGAGATATTTATCAAAGTAAGAAAGTATAGGGAATGATTTCACCGCTATATTAACAATGTTTCTCGAATTCTATAGTTAATTCTATCAATCTTTTCCTAAGTTTATAAGCAAGAACCCTAAATTAATTTTATCAACTCTCTCGAGAGTCGAATAAAATCCATCTCCATATTTTAATTTCAATATCTCTATTCCGAATTAAAATCTAGAAATTATTAAGTACATGGTTCTTAAGTGGAATAAGTCTCAAAGATTTCATATTTTCTCTCAAAATCTACAAAATCTAAGTTGTATTATTCTTAGATCACGCCTAAATTTTCTCTCTCGAGTACCGAAATTTAAAATATCAAATCATTCAATTATTGATCATGTAATTGAAAGCAATGCGCAATAACCAACACAAATAAACGTAAGAAAAAACTTAAAGAAACAACTGTATTAAAATCCAAACATGTCTCTAGTTAAGTTACAACAAACCCTAGTTCTAGAATATAGTTCATGAATAAGAGAAGAGACAAACTGATTTGGCACTTGAATTCTCCTCATTGATGTTGTCTCTCTTTCTCTAGATCAATATGTTGTTCCTTGCCTCTCGCTCATCGAATTCCCCCCCTCTAAAAATGGTCTCTAGGATTGTATTTATAGTCTTCTCAAGTCTTGGATGAATTGGGGACGGATTTGGCCTTAAAAGCGCCTGGGCGCTGCACTTGTAGTTCACTTCAAGTCATTCACATACTTGTTTGGCTTCTTTCTTTGCAATCTTTGTACGCTTTTGTTCCTTCTTCTTTTTAGCTTATTTCATTGCTTCATCAACATCATATTTGGTTCATTTTCAAGCTCCACACTTCATCATTTTTTACTAATCTACCTCACCAATAAAACAACATGAAAACATACATTAAAACATTATGAAGATCGTAAGAATTACTAAATATCAAGATTAGATGGTGTCTAAAACATGATTGAATTACTCTCATCACACAGCCACCATGATCCAATTTAGAATCAATGAAAGAACAATTCTATTCACGACATTCATCACAAAGTTTTGAATAAATAGAAAATTCATTTTTCACAAATTCATTTTCAATCACACATTTTATGGAATCCACAACTTTTATCAACTTTTCATTAACATTTCATCAACTTTTATTAAAATCTACTAAAAAAATGATTTATATATATATAATGCTTTTATTACCACTAATTTCATTCACACATTATTATCAATATTCATTTATAAATATAATTAATTACGATCAATTCATGCAAAATTTCTCAAATATCGTTAATTACAATATTTTCCCTTTAATCAAAAGGCCTCGACAATAAACCATTTAATAAGATTTTTCCCATGAAACTTCATTGATTGACATAAATCTAATCAATCCAACTTATGACCTTTTATCTAACAAAATGGATGATACCCATGTGAATGTAGTCCAAATTGTCCCTCTCAACTATAAATCAAAATCAAGGGACCTCCAATTCATTCCATCATGGTGTGAACTCACTTTTGCTTGCACGTTTTGCATTATCATTCAACTTCACATTTAAGTAAAGTATGGTACAATCAATGCTAACATCCACCATTAGTACAAATCACCGTGGTACGTACTAAGACGTTAAATTTAGTTCAATTTTTATACTCCGCTACAATTTATAATTTTGTTCCGATCATATTCTATTATAGCGCTTCTCTTACCAATCATACTTCTTAATTTTTCAAGAAAGACATTCATGAAAATAATAACTCCTTTTTAAATAAAAACACTAACTTGACAGTTGATATATATTGTATCAGTATTTAAGTTATTATTTTTTTTTTTTTTGTATGATAGATAACGTAGTTTGATATGCCTAGGCTTCATTATTAAAAAATACATTTTTCTTTCTTATCTTTTTAAACTAGCATTTTTCAATAAAATAATCTTCCACGTAAATTCGAATTTTTTCTTATTTTTTAACTGTATATTCTCCAAAATATTACACTCGACCTCTGTACCCAAGTTGTTAACTTACGTACTGTCCATTTTGGAATGATCTAAGTCCATCGCACCCCTTATGATTTTCTGTCGCGTCCCCAAATATTCTGACACATGAATTCCGCTTAAAGAGAGACTCAAGTATCAAAATGGACAGTACGCAAGTTAATGATTTGAGTACAGAGATTGGGTCCTTACAAAAAAAAAGACCCAAACAAGGGCATAATAACTTGATTATGCAAGAACGTGAAACGAATATTCACTAAGCCCCATTTTGGGGTATTGAAAAATATTGGAATAGTGATTGATGAGAGAATGTGTAGTAGAAAAATAATGAAAAGTTTTAAATTTGTGTGTAATATTATTTTATTTGATGAATATGTGGTTGAAACGAAAAGAAAAAAAAATTAATGTAATGTAATGAAAAAAAAATGGGGGCCAAACGGGGGCTAACTAACATATATTTTAAATATATACCTTGAAAAAAACAAATTAAAGAGATAGATACTACAATTATTATTGCTTTTTATAATTAATTCGAATTTTTATTTCTTACTTATCGTGTATTACACGACAACAAATTACATTTGCGACAGAAAAATCTGTAATGCGGCGAACCAATCGAAAGCAACGTCTCTTTCTCCCATATGGGGACCACCTACGTGGCGCCTCCTCACCCTCTCCTTTGCCTTTTACCAAAATTAAAGTTAATTTAGCCAAATACCTTTTCCATTTATTTTTTGACCCTTAATTTTTCTTTAATAATTTTTTTTAAAGCATTTGTTTGAGCCCGAGATAAAAGTTACATTTTTGAATAGTGATTTTTAAAAATATATGATTAAAAATTAATAATTTTTTTGCTATTACTTATAATATTATTTTATTGAAAAATGTATGGTTGAAAATAAGTTTTAAAAATGATTTTTTAAAATTATAATATTATTTTATTGGAGAATGTGCGGTTGAAAATAAATTTTTAAAAAATGATTTCTGTAAAAAATGGGGCTCAAACATCCCTGAATTGAGATTTTTTTTGAATATTCATAATATAGGTGGTCTAAAATAAATAAAAGGAGAGAGCCACTAAGCGTGTGGCCAAACAGGCCATTACTTTTTCCTTTGTTGGGTATGTCTTAAAATGCGCAGGGTGCACAATACACCCCACGCCTGATCGCATCTTCTTCCTCACTCCAGTATCCAGACAATAGCAACTCTGCAACTCGCCTTACCCATTACCTTCACGCCCCTGCGCATTTTAGCACATTCTCCCTCTTAGCTCTCTTACAATTATATCTTACATATATACACATTTTTCATTCACTCTTTCTCAGCTGTATATTATAAACAAATACAAGCATATAGAGATAGTTCATATACATACAGTTAATACTATATTTTCGCATTTCTTCTTTGCTTCAGGAATGGGGATTCGATTTATTTTGCTTGATTTACTGTTTGTTTTGTATATTAGCTGTGCCTTATGTGAGAGTACTTTATATTCCGCAAAGCTAGTGCATAGGTTTTCAGATGAAGCAAAGGCGCATCATAGCGCTAGGGTTTCAAGAAATGGAGCAGGAATTGTCGATAGGGTTGGAGACGCTGATGCGTGGCCAAAGCGTCGGAGTTTGGACTATTATCGGCGGCTGTTGAGCAGTGATACACAGCGGCAGAAGCTGAAGCTTAACCCTCAGTTCCAATTCCTCTACCCTTCCAGAGGCAGCGTTACCTTGCCCCTCGGAAATGACTTTGGATGGTTAATTCTCTCTCTTTCTCATGAATGTGTCTCTCTGTGAATTGGAGGGTGTGGGATCTGTGATTTTCGATTGTTTCTATGAATTTTATGTTTTGAGATGTGATATCGTTATACAGTTATTTCCTTAGTTTTATTTCTGCAATAATTCAATTGAATGGGAAGTTTTGGTGGACAATATCCACAAGTCGGTAAAGCATCTATTTATTCTGGACTTCTTGAGAAATTATGAGAAATATCTTGAATGTGAAAATTTAAGGTAATTACAGCTAAAATTATATTGATAAAAGAGATGATAATTTACATCTAAATCTTAAAGAGGGAATAGAGGGACTCCTAGTTACTAGGAAAGGCCAAACCTTTGAGAAATTTTGGAGTGTGCTTGTGCATACAATTGAGATTTGCAATGGGGAAATTGTCGATACCAATCACATTCCTATATAATATTCCTTCTTTTGATGTTCGTGATTTAGATATATTGATTGTTGCAATGATATGGTCAATACAACAGTCTTTCACATTAAACTTGGTAGATACATCCATAAAAATTACTCAAGTTATAGAAATTCGTTCATATTTAGAGAAATTTAATTATCCACTTAAAGTTCCTCGAAGTCACAGAAAAATGTAATCTAAATCAGACATTGTTGTGCTATAGGTATCATATCATCTCCCCACCTCTCTTTTGCTAGTCGTGGCAGTTATATAGTAGAAATTCTTCGAGGTACATGCATTATGCAAGTCAGTTGAATTGACTTCATGAGTAGTATCTAGTGGTTTGGTTAACAAAATGTGGGTTTTGGTGAATTTAAAATGATGTTTCCTAGACAGAGGTATTGGTTTGTGCTGGATGGACTACAAATGAACAAAATATAGTTTTATCTAGGGTGTGTTTGTCTCCCATTATTGGGAGAAAAATAGAGTAATGAATAGTATTTTTTTGGAGAATGTGTGGTTGAAATTTAAAGTAACTTTATTGGTTTGTGGGTAGAATATTTTATTGGGTGAATGTTTGGTATAAAATTTTACTGTAGCGAACAATTTTTTGGAATAATGGTAGACAAACATGGGCCTAGTAATCTCACAATCACTAGCCAATAGACTTTTCTCTCTATATGACTAATAGAATGTTGTTATCTAGCATTTCCACGAATAATCAGTCTGGGCTGAGTCAAATATGTCAATTAAATAGAGTGTGCTTGTTTTATTGCTGCAAGTAACTTTGTAGTCATAACTACGAGTTTCTGAGTCCTTGGACATCTTCAGTGGCTGAAGGGAACATTCGTCATTTTGAAATTTACACAAATTAAACTTAAGGATCTTGTGTCTTTAGTTTATTCATTTTCACTCAAAACAGGTTACATTATATGTGGATTGACATGGGCACACCAAAAGTTTCTTTTCTTGTTGCATTGGATGCTGGAAGTGATCTATTCTGGGTTCCCTGCAATTGTGTACAATGTGCACCTTTATCTTCCAGTTACTACAGCAGTCTGGTATGCAAGCTTTCTTTTGTATCATCAATTGCAATTTTTATTCTGGTGATGTTTCCTTTGTTGAGATCTTCTTGTTCCTTCTTCTCCCGATATGAACACAAATAGAGTGCATACCCAAGCATTTGCCACGTGCTAGGGATGTGTTAGCAAATACTCACTCCCTTCAATTTTTTCTGGGATCGTGTTTTCTGGTTTCTTGCTTTCTTGGGTCTTTTATAGGATTGAAGTTCTTAGAATCAAGACATGTTGTAGACTTTTTGTTTCTTAGTTCTTACAGATCGATGTTTGACTACTGTCATCAACTAAATTAGTTGGATTTTTATTTTCTGACTGCATCGTCAGGCATTTAAATGTTACTGGGTTTTCCACTATAGTTTTGTTTTGACAACTACATTTCAATAATAATAATTAAGACTATTTCCGTGGTCTACATTATAGGTACCTTTATCTGCCCATTCTAATTTGAAACGCAGGCCCTTTGGTGGTTCTAATGTTCAATTTGGCATCAACTCAAATTTTCATGTATACTTCAATAATCAAAATCTGTTCATCTGAAGTGCAAGTTTATCGTTAATTGTTAAGAAACATAACATTCTGCGAGGAGGTGTAACAGATTTTGTTACTTGGCAATTAAAAGATTTGTCCTTGGCTTAGTATTGGTTGGTCCTTTGCCTTTTCATTTTGTTTTTTCAGTTTTTCTCTTGCATGCTCACCATTGATCTCATTTTGGACATTTCCACCCACACTTGCGAATATTTATGCTTGCAAACTTCTCTATATGATGTTCTGAGTTTATTTCTCTTTCTCTGTGATTGACATAATGGTTGCTTGTAGGATCCATTTCTTTTGTATTTTAAGTGATCAGTTCTATTCCAGCTTAAAGTCCAATTTACATAGGTATAACTCTTGGTTATGAAGCACAAAAATGACATTGCTTGTCATATTTCAGATATCAATAAATGGTTTTCCTTCCCCACACACCCATGGTGTGCTGGAATTTTCTCGTTCAGATTTATCTGGTATGGTTTGAATTAAATTAAATTAATTAAATGGTAGAATACCTAGCAATAACTGAATTTTCAAAAGAAAAGGAAATGTTCTTTGTCATTGGCTGCAGCTATCCGAGCATAATCCAGTGATCACCTTCTGTATAACTAAGCTTGTTTGGTTCTTTCATATATCCTTTTCATGGAGAAACCTTTACCAGTTTTATGATTTGGTGGTACTCATGAGGTTATTGGTCTTGGATGTGATAGACACTCTTATCTCTAAATTGTTGTGCTCAAATTTGAAATAAGGCTGTAAAGAATTAATTTTAAACTTGGTTCGGCCCTAGGACTTCCATATTTAGTGGCTCAGTATTTTTTGCTGCCAAAATTTATATTCTGCTTGACTATCTACCTGAAATTAATGCTTGTTATGTTGCATTGGGGCTTTACACTGTAGCAGCACAAAACATATAAACTTTTGAAATACTTGATGTAGTTTAAACAGCTGTGAAGTAGTTGTTCATACAAGTAAGAGGTTTACCACTTATTTCAGATGATTGATTGGCAGGTGCTCCCTGGTTTTTGGGGCATCTATTATGCAGGATAAGGATCTTAGCGAGTATAATCCTTCTGGCTCTAGCACTAGCAAGTCCCTCTCTTGCAGTCATCCATTATGTGAATTTGGTTTAAATTGTGAGAATCCTAAGCAGCAATGTCCATACACTGTCAACTATGCTTCAGATGATACATCTACTTCTGGAGTTCTGGTCGAAGACGTATTACATCTTGTATCGGGTCACACTAACGCATCCAACATGTCTGTGCGGGCCCCAGTCGTTATAGGGTGTGTTTTGTATTGCTGTTACAAGTGCATTCCTTTTCGAATAAGATTTGTTGTGCAGGAATTACCATCTTGAGATATTGTTTCAACAAAATTGTTTGGATCCAGAGTAATTTTCTTTATATTTCAGATGTGGTAGTAAACAAACTGGTGGTTACCTGAATGGAGTTGCGCCAGATGGTCTTATGGGTCTGGGGCGTGGAGAAATTTCAGTTCCAAGTCGTTTAGCAAAAGCTGGATTGATTCGGAACTCTTTTTCGTTATGCTTCACTGAAGATGACTCAGGGAGGCTATTCTTCGGGGATCAAGGAGTAGCTGTTGAACAGACTACTTCATTTTTGTCTTCTGATGGAAAAAAGTAAAAAATTGAACTTGCACCATATATTCTGCTCTTTTCTTGCATCATCTACACAGGAGTTATATTTTTTTATGTTCGTGGTCCAGTTTAACTTACATTGTTGGAGTGGACTCTTGCTGCATTGGAAGTTCTTGTCTTGAGCATACAAACTTTGAAGCGCTGGTTGATAGTGGGACATCATTCACGTTTCTTCCAGGTCAAGTCTATGAAAGAGTTGTTAAGGAGGTAACTTTCTCTCTCCCTCTTGCCTTTTGAGTTATCCTCTGAAGTATAAGAGTTTGTTTTGATTATACTGGTTGTAGTTCAATGGACAAGTAAATGCGTTGAAATCAGATTTTGAAGGATACCCATGGCAGTATTGTTACAAGACCAGGTAGTCTTGAGTAGACTGTACGTTGAGTCCACTTTCTCCTTTCTATCTTATCTGTGCACTAGGATTTACTGTATTTTTTCACAGTTCTGAAGGGTTACCTAAAATTCCTTCTGTGACTCTGAAGTTCGCAACGAACAACAGTTTTGTGGTCCATGATCCTGTTTTTGTGATCTACGGTACTCAGGTTGGTTCTTGCAAACATACATATTTTGTATTGGCAGAATTAAGTACTTATTCAATGCTGGGCACTTTGATATTAATAAATTTTGTAAAGCCAAATTTCATGTGCTACTTTGGCCAAAAAGTCAAACAATTATTTATAATATCTATGCACTTATGCATGTGGAATGCTTATTAGTTCATATAATCTGATGTGAATATGACGTTCTGTAGAAATTCTCCATTCATTTAGATATTGGTTCATATTTAGTGGTGGTAAACTGAGTTTGTATCATGTGTAGAACCAATAGTTTCATTGTAAATTAAATTTGGGAAAACCGAAAAAGTGGAGTTTAGTTTTGTGGTTTAGGGAGGCAAAAGTGTGTTGATGATAGTTAAAGATTCTCATGGTTATGATCATGGAGCTTAGGTACTTTGGCTGCAGGATACTGGATAACTGGGTAGATATTCTATTCAGCAGTATATGATAACCAGTTTGAGAGTTGATATTGAAATAATTGAGGAATCTGCATTGACGTCTGAAGAAAAATAACATTTTTTTCGTAAAATTCACCAAGTGTACTAGGACAACCTGTTCAAAAAAGGTATCATCACCAGTAACAAGTTGCCAAGTTGGTTAAAGATATGTCCATTGATTCATAAGTTGCTTTTGTTTCGCCAGATATTGCTTATTAGTTATTTTACCCATGCATCGATACCTAAGGTCCATTTAGAAATTTAGAAATTGCAGAAATATTCTAGTTACATTATTGCACATTATAATTTGAGGGATTACCAGTCGAACTGGATCATGGACCTAGATTTGAGTAGTAGTTCATTTGATCAACATGTTTTTCTTGTGTATGAACTAATCAATAATAACATTTTAGTTGCTTCCCTGTTTGCAATTTCTGTAGCTCATTAATATTAAACCTTTAGAACTGGGGATTTAAATAGCACAAACATCAGATGCATTATGAAGTAACAAATTGAATGCTTAATTCTTAACTCCGACTCAACTGATTAGAGACAGGACTCTGACTTGACCAGATAAGGTTTGTGGCTCAAGGGTCTGAATCGTTTTTGGTATACTTTTAATTTACTATATACCTGCAAGTGAATAAGAAAAAATGAGTTTCTGAAGCAAATATTTTAATAATTTGTATGATTCTATGATGTAACTCAGGCCAAGACTTGATTATTGTTAAAATCTGGTTATGTGAATGAAAATATTTGCTACTTCTGTTGTGGTTGATTTCATGTTTTAACATGTGAACTACCATGTTTGTGAATGTTACTGTCTATATTATGGTGCAGGGTGCAGTTGGATTTTGTTTAGCAGTACAGCCAACTGATGAAGACATTGCGACAATTGGACGTAAGTATTACTTTATTTGCATTTCCTGGACACATCTGCTACAGTGTCAACCTACGAGTTTATTTTCCTGCCATTGTTACCCAGAATATAGAAAATCCAGCAATACATGAACTGCACAAAAAAATGAAAAATTCAATGAACTAAACTTGGTTTTCAATTTATTTTCCTCAAACAAATTTCCCTGTGCAGAGAACTTCATGACAGGATATCGAATGGTATTTGATAGGGAAAATTTCAAGCTTGGCTGGTCCCGTTCGAATTGTGAGTATTTGACCTTTTTTACCTGTATACTTTTGCTCTTGAAGTTCACTCTCTTTTTGTATGGTGGATTATAAAACATGGTATTCATTGGTTTGCTCATTCAGTGGTTTAATTTGTACATTTTGCTGATATCTCGCCATTGATGAATACCTCTTCCATGTTGTGTTGCCTAGTTCAATAAACTCTATCCTACTCCTACGTAAATGTACCTGGAATTTAAATAAAAAGAAGAAATAAATGAATGGACAATGCAAATGAAAATCTCTGAAGAAAACCACAAATAAAAAGAAGACCTGAGCAATGTCACCTAAGTTGCTCCAAAAAGGTTTTTATACTCTGATAGCTGGAGTGCTGCTCTAAATCTTTGCATTTAGAAATGCAGTGGCTCTCAAATTTTGCTAAACCCCCTCTAAGATCCCACTTGATTGCTATATATCTTTGCTCAAGTTTTGCTACTTTCTGAATTTGAAGTTCTAATTTACTAGTTTGGTGGCACATTCACTATATTACACTTTTGTCCTCTGTAAAGCATAGCGGTCAATCTTAATATGTGCGAATCATCTCAGGTCAGGATCTCGGTGAAGGTGGCAGAATGCCGCTGACTCCATCAGCTGATGGCACCTCTCCGAACCCATTGCCGACAACAGTGCAGCAGAACTCTCCCAATGCTCATGCAGTTGGTCCTGCCGTTGCTGGAAAGACACCTTCCAAATCCTCAGCTACACGCCAGGAGAGCTCATATTTTGCTGCGAAGTTTTTCTTTATTATGCATTTGGCGTTGCATACATGCTTATATAAATATGCTCTTTAAGTTGCTTTTTGTAGTTTTGCATGTAAATTCAGAGTTCTGTCGATTTCTTCCTTCTCACTTACCAACCTCTGATGCTTTTAGGGTTATCATATATGGTGTTATAGGTACGAAAAGAGTTATAGTTATATTCAGTACTTCTCCCTCCGTCTGTTCTTCACCATTTACGTATTCATGTATGTAAATCTAGTTTTTCTTTTTTATATGTAGATGAGTAAATTCTCAGTTTTGTTGTATTATGTAATTTTCATTTTGGTAGACAATCCACCTATCTAGATTTTACATATTTGAGGTACTGTCCATTTATCACACGCAATTTCACAAGTTAAATGTCATTGTGGTACCGTGACATTCACAACTTTGCCCATGTTTTCGAGTTTTTGTGCCAAGCAGCATCGAGCAATGACAAAAATATGTAAATGAAGTCTTATTTTCTCGACAATTAATCGAGGATAAAGCAATTCTGTATAAAAAAATGACTTCGTTTTGTGATGGATTAATTTGTAGGTATAAATGGACACTGTGTTTGTATGATGCAGGAGTATTTTCTATGTAAGGAAACATTATTGTATTGAAGCCTAATATATTACAGCACATTCGTCCAAATGACAGCCTATGCACAAGACCTGACTGGGTTAACAAATTTAGCAATTGAATAAAGTGCCAATCATCAGTAATGGACATGACCACCGAATAATTGAAATGACTGCTTCAAAGTCTTGTCGGTGGTTACGGTGCTCGTTATCCATAGCTGCATTTGTTGTTTTGGTTAGAATACAATAAATTAGGAAATTTTAAACCTTTGCAGGTGGGGCAATTCTTCGAATCTATTGTCAAAACCTTTTAATATTCCTTGCAAATGTGTCTCTAGCTATTATCTGTTTTGCAATCAAGAAATGCACACGAATTCTAATTCTAATTTCTCGTTGTTTACTTTTTCTTTCTTTTCATCGGGTTCTTTTACAAAAATGGGGTTATGATTCAGCACAATAATGGTTAATCAAGAAATAAACAATGAAATGACCTTTAAATTAGCGAAATTGTTTGGATCTTTTGTTTTCTTTTCAGTAGGTGTTACTTTCCCTACCAAATTGGAATCAAAGCAAAACCCCATAAGATTGGATACGGAATTATATTAAAAAACTAATGGAAACTTAAAGAACAAATTGATTAAAAACATCCAGCAATAATGCATCTTAAGACAATGATTGAAGGCCTTAGGTAAACATTATTGCCAAGTGAGTACTGCCTTCGAGGTATAGATCAGTGGTGCAAAGGACAAGAGTGAGATAGTTTCAGTTGAGCTGGCAGCTGTAGTGTGAGGATTCAATTCCTACCTCTTACAAGGTATGGAATTGAACTCTTTGTGAGCACCAGTATAACAATTCTTGTACCCTGACCTGTTGAGACACATCCTGCGATTTATTTACTCCAGAATGCTCTAGGGATAGGGCGGGGTTCAACCCCTTTTTAAAGCAAGCATAGTACTATTTATATTTTCTACTACTGGTATAATTTTCAATCTCCCAAACATCGTGGAATGTGATAAAAAAAAATCTAGATATTTAGCCCCTTGGTACTGATTAAAATAAAGAATTTAATTTGAGTCAAAGTCAACAATTCATTTCAACCACATATTTTATGGATCCCACAACTTTTCAATCACACATTTCACCCATTGTTACCAAAATTTACTAAAAAATCGATTTTAATCCCCACCAAACACGTACTTAAAGTTAACTGATCACAATTTTTTGATATTTAGCACTTTGTAGCTCAAATTCATAACGAAAAAATAGTGGGGCTTTAAGCAGTATTTATTGGATGATTTGGAGGGTTTGGCCTATATAAGCACATCGTATAAAATGAAGGGGAAAAAAAAGTTAAAAGCAGGAAAAGGCATTATATTGAGAGTTAGAAAAAGGATGCATGACATAGCTTTTGGAACCGCCTCTACTTCCAAAAGCCATTACTTTTGTCACGCATAAAGAGTAAAGAGAGTTGACGGTGCTTTTACTTTAGGTTTTTCACTTTTTTACGAACCGGGTTCTCTATCGAATAAAAAAAAAGGAAACCCGACGCCATTTTTCTACTTGATCCACATTATGGGTTGATCCATTTACAAGTAGAATTGGTCAATTCCCCTGCAAGCACTTAACTTTGATAGCATAAAACCAGTAGCGTGTACATGAGCCATCACCATAGAGTTAACCATAGTGTAGACCAAAGCCAAATCAGACAAATTGCTTCGCGATAAAATGCCGTTTTCTTTTATTTTTGTCAAAAATATCTTAAATATTTTTGAATGAGACAGTTCAACTTGATATTTGAAGAGCTAAAAATCTGACTTCTAGTTCTTATAAAAAATTGTATGTCGAGCATTTGATGTAAAAAATTAGTTGCGTATGTACATGAAAGACTCGTATGATAACAAAATTAAATAATTAATGATAAAAATAAACATATATAACTGAAGATATTTTCATCATTCAAGACCTTGTCCATAATAAATATCTAAGAACAATTTTTTTAATTTAAATGATACAAAAACCTAGATTATTGTAATCATTTGGGTAGAACTCAGCTGAGAAATTTTTAATCTTTCTTGTTTTGTCTGTAATGTGAAACTGAGCAACTTGCATTATAGTATATAATAAATTAACAAAACTTTCCATAAAGAAAATGTTAGGTTAAATATTTAGATAACACCTGCATTTCTGGATAGAGACACGGCCAAAACTCAACATTTTTTTATATATTAATGCTTGGAGCACTAGTCATTTTCCATATACAAAACAAAATTAAGTGGCATGTTTGGTACATAAATATATTAAAATATAATAATGTATCAATTTCATCGAACAAATTTTATGATTATCCTCTTTAATTCATCTGGTGCATATCATAAGATGTCTAGATAGGGTAATAACACAAAGTCATGCATATATGTGTGTGTGCGCGGGACAAAATATTAGCATCATGTTTGTTCGGTACATTAATTTGACGTGACAGTGGAGAATTTCATGAATTATGCTGTTTTGTCGGAGGAATTTAATACTTTGGTTGACAGATGAAGTTGCAGCAAAAAACGATTGGATGACAATATTGACTATTTTTAAAACAATCCAATGATGTAATGTTATGTAACATTCTATCATCCAAGGTGTTAAAATTCTCCGACAACGTAGCAAGATTGCAATTTCATTATGTTCTTGAATTGCGAAACATTGGTAGCCGACACAATAATAACACAAGTCGTGCATTATATTATTTCGAAGTATTTTAAATTTTAATCTGTATAATCCATTTGGTCGTGACAAGCAATATCAGGCATAATATTGATGTATAATGGTGTTACCAGCCAAGCATATTACAAAACATAATTGAATAATAATTGTAAAGAATCTGAAATACTACATAGGAGACAATGCTTATTTATACCCCCTGATCAGCACCCCCACCCCACCCACCCCCACCAAGCACATAAACTAAAGGGGAAATAAAGGTTTATAAGATTGTGAAGGGAGCTTGGAAGCTTCATATATTCCAATTTCAAAAGTGTTTGCTATAACAAATGTTTATCGTATTATTATTATTATTACATATACCCTTTTTCTGTATATCCTCATATCAACCGTTGATTTCATTTTACTCTATGATCAAACCTTTCTTTCAAAACGTGTCACACCAGACACCTAGATACGTGGCAGCTACTCCCTCCATTATTGGTTGTTTTCTTCATTCCATTATTTATGAATTATGCCCCACCATTTTGTGTATCCTTTCATCTAGGTCCCTGTAGGTACTAAATTTTTAGAGTTAAGCAAATGTACAGAAAATCGGTTTACAGAACTTCTACCACCTCTCACATGAGGTGGGTCCCATGTGGGATCGAGTTCATTAAAAAATGGATAAAAAATTTGCCGACCCCATGCCTTATGAGTGATCGGTGGGGGTTCTGTCCCCTGTAAGTCAAGTAGAACCCAAATTTTTACTGTCACACTTTAAAAAAAATATTCTTTTAGCTCATTTCTATCCTTTTCTTCAGCATTGAGTACTAACGATACTCTTAAAAGTGAATTTGATTTAAGTCATCCTTATTATTTTCAAAATACATTTCACTCTTATTTTCAACCCTACATTCTTCAATAAAAAATAATATTACACGCAAATTCAAAGTTTTTACTTCCTTTTAACCACATATTTTTCAACAAAATACTATTCTAAAATACATTTTGGACAAAAAAAGAAGCCTCAAACAAGCTCTACAATTCTTAATTTTAGTTTTATAATAGTTTTTATTTGAGTCGGCCACCACCTCTTTTTCTAATAATTGGACATGTACCTCTATATAAGAAGTAGCCAGTGTAAAGAAAGGTTTCAGAAGAAATTTTAAGAGAACAGCTTTAGAACCCTTTCTTTCTTCTCTTTATTTGTTGGTAGGCAAGAAAAGAATCCATTTCTTGGAGGGAAGTTTCTCTCTTGCAGATTCTCAGTACTGTTTAAGTTATAAGCCTTTTTTTGTTTCTTCAAGATTCTACTTGTTATTTTCTTGAAAGCATTAATTTGCTTAAGAATAGAGAGTTTAGAGTTATATGCAAAATGGGAGTTTCAGGGACCTTAGATTACCTGTCTGATTTGATGAGCAGTGGACATAAACACAAGAAGAGGAAGCAGTTACAAACTGTGAATCTCAAGGTCAGAATGGACTGTGATGGCTGTGAACTTAAAGTCAAGAAAGCCTTGTCTTCATTAAGTGGTGAGTTTTTTTCATTTTCTTGCTGTCTCATGCATGCGTTAGGTCTTTGATGAAAAAAAGAACCCACTCTCTTTAATTTCAATTTTGGCTTTAGACGAGGGTGTTTAACATTTTCTAACAACTCACACACACAGAGAGAACAAGTATTTATGACTTATATGAGAATGTATGCATAATTTGATGTATAGAAATGTTTTTGAAGTGAAAAATTGTGTTAATTTCTTTTCAGGGGTTAAATCTGTGGAGATAAACAGGAAACAGCAGAAGGTGACAGTAACAGGATATGTAGAACAGAGCAAAGTGTTGAAGAAGGCAAAGTCAACAGGGAAAAAGGCAGAGATATGGCCGTATGTACCCTACAATCTTGTGGCACAACCCTATTCAATTCAAGCTTATGACAAGAAGGCGCCCCCTGGTTTTGTCAGAAAAGTAGACAACCCAACAACTGGAAATGGAACACTCACCAGAATTGAGGACCCCTACATCACAATGTTCAGTGATGATAATCCAAATGCCTGCTCCATCATGTAATAATATAATGGACTGGATGTCTGTCACTCAACCATTTCTGGGCTTCTTTTCAAGCTATTTTACTTTTGTTTTGATTTTTTATCCTTTTTGGGTTAATTTAGGTACTTTTCCCAAGTGGGACTAAGCAGGGTATTGTTAAATCTTGGTTGCAACTGGTTTTGGTATAATGACCGCCGTAGAATCAAGAATGCATGGTTTTTTGTAATTATTTAAAAAATAAATAAAATATTCTGCTATTGAGAAACCCCCTTTTTTTTTGGTTTTTTTGCATGCATGAAAGCATGTTTGACACCATGGTCAACAGAAGAAGAACGTGAGCTGCTAGCTCGGCCTGCCTCGGTTGTGACTGTGCTACAGGACATCGTTCGGTGATTAAGCTTAACACTTGGTATAAAACTGTATTAGACAGTATAATAAATTATATTTTAAATTTTTTAAATTTTCATGCAAAACAAAGTCAAACGAATGATATTCGGTATGGTTATTTTTTTTCAAATTTTTTTTGGCAATTGAAACAAATTCTAAACCCAATGGTAGAAAACATTGTCATTTTAATGGACAACTTCTATAAAAAAAAACGAAGTCAAACGAATACCAAATTTTCAATATTTTCCATAGAAAATTATACAAATCAAATACAATTAATTACAATTATCAGTAAAACAATTTCTAGACAAATCAATTTCCTGTAAAATATTTTCTTTCCACCCATTTTCCACCATTGCAATCAAACGGACCCTAATTTTAAATGAGAAGAAAAGAAAACTATAATAACATACATATAAAAAGGGCAAAAAGTTACCTAATAACAATTCTTTTATGTTTTACAGAAAGGTAATTGGCGNTTTTTTTTTTTTTTTTTTTTGGTTTTTGTTTCAGTTAAATCATCTCGTCCACTCCATCTCAAATAGTAATGAAAAAGAGTCATGCTACTTGTACAAAGTTAGGTTGCAAAATTGGTTTACAGATTACGTGTTGACAACATTTTGGCCAATGATTTAAAAAACAGTTTTTGAAATCAATGATCCAGATCTTGCCACATCATTTTCTCAACATACTTTTGTAAACCACCTTTGTACAAGTAGTATAATTGAATGAAAAATCCAACGTGTTAGACTAACATCATATGCATATTTTGTTAATGACATGGTTGTCTCATCCAAGTGGTCAAAGCGTATTTCATTTATTTTCGGCTTTCCTTGAGCTTAGAACAGTTCAATTAATCTGTTACATAAATAAAATACCTTTTATGCAACAATTTTTTACATTCAAAATCATATTTTCCAAAAGTCGATTGAATCTCTAAGGCTCCATAAAGGCAAGGCAAAAAAGGAAAGATGCAAACTAAAGCATTTCCTTTTGTTGTTGGGAGAATATTTGCAAAACAAAACAGAGGTTTGAAATTGTAAAGAAGAAGCTGTTGTGAACCCCACTTATCATAGTTTAGGCACCTCCCTCTTCTTCTTTAAGATATGGTAGATATTATTGTAATTTAAGTTCATTGTCAAGGCTACTTTACTGTTTCCATGTCTAGGCTTCAAAATGATTGAGATGTTAATTGGTTTCAATTTCAAATACCAGACAGGCTGTTCGTTTCACAAATTCAAGATTAGTCACATCACGAGGAAAAAAAATCCATCATCCACTAACATGGCTGTGACCAACAACTGTATGCCTCTGTTTCCACACATCAAATTATAGGGTGGTTGGTTTCAAGACCCACCACCTTAACCATTACAAATTCACAGCCATATATCGAGAAAATAAGGTTTTAAGGTTGAAAGCATGAAAATTTAGTTCTTTGCATCCTTCTTAATCATAATACATTTCCGTACATACTCGCACCGATAGAATTGGACAGGACAAGTTTAAAGTTTAATCTAATACCCGTCTTCCTTAATCTTATCCAATCTTGTATACTCAGCATACCACGTATACAGTATGTGTATAACTAATGAATGGCCTCAATATCAACAAAATGAATCTGCACTGATTCTTCTACCTTCATACCAAACTATTTCTAAATCAGGTAATAAATGGAGTGGTCCATGAGATTTTTAGACCTACAATCTTCAATAATTCATTTGAATTGAAGTATATGATATGTTGCAGCCATATACTTCAAGAATCAAATAAACAATGAATTGTTTATGGAATGCTAGATGAGTGCAGAGTTGAGCAATTCTAGTAAAAAAAGTACCTCTTAATAGGGTCCATTAAATTATGGCTTTTATTGCATGGACTTTAGCATGTGCTGCCTTTGTATCTGCCTAATGTGTTCAAACTGGAAAAGGTGGCTCTATATTCTTAGAACCCAGCAAAGTGATTTCAAGCATCAGAGTACAACAAGTTGCAAAAAATGGTGTTTCTCCATGAAAAAAGAATACAGTGACCTTTTCTCTTTCAGGACAATTGTAGTAGAGGTTGCGAACCTGTAGCCGATGTTGTTAGTTGGTCCTAAGCTTTTACTTCTAGAAATTTAATCTTCAACCTTTCAAATATGTAGTACATTAGTCCCTGATAGACAGACGGATTGAAAATTTAAAAGCAAAAGTTAGGGCAAATGTCATAGGCTGGGAAGTAACTTTCCCATTTCTGTTTAAATCTAGGTAAAACCATCCATTCATTATAGAATTCAGAGGTTAAGGTGTTGAACCGTCATGCGAGAATCCTAAGGTCGTTGTAAAAGATAATGAATCGTATGAATAAGGTATCTCTGTTTTTCTGCTTAGAACAACACAGGACTATATGTCTATATCGAAGAGGAGATTGGCGGCATTGTCAAAAAATGCACAAATGCAATTACATCTACTATCATTTCACAACTAGCATTTACAATAGGATTTCTATGGTTGAACATCGATAAAATCAAATTTCATTTTTTGATTAGGTTTTTAACTATTGAGGGTACATAAATTTCTAGAAATTTTGACACGAATAGCACCAGCCATCTCCTGTCAAAAGTCATGTAATTAACGTTTCCAGTTAGACAATGTGCACAAAAAGAAAACTTGATATTCATAGAAGTTTACTTAGAAACTCACTTGGTTTTGATGCTTAGATTCACAGATCTTTATTTCCTATTTCCTTTGTAGATATCGACAAATTTGACGTCATAAACAAGCGTTGCATTTCCAGGTATGTTACAATCCCCTGTGCAACAAGGTAAAGGTTTTGGGAGGTAATAGATAGTCGCAACAAAAACAAATCAGTGCCTCAGATTTTTCAGTGTATGGAAATGAAAAAAAAAAAAAAAAATCTTCCAAGAATATTCAAGCTTATGGTATGCAGAACCTCAGAATTTTAATTCTCAAATATTTAGGACAAGTAAAAATCACCTGAAAAGCAGCCGGCTGGTTCAGGTCCATATGCTAAATGTGGAGGGATCTGAATCTTACGTTTACCACCTATTACAAAATGTCGAGATGAATTCTCATAGTCCTATAGAACTGCATAAAGAACACCATCATGAAGAAATAGAAAAACGAGTTTTTTTATATATCATCTGCGTCTTACCAACTTGCATTGGGGGTACACCTCCACCTCCCAAGATTCCCTGATCTAATCCTTTAATGACCTGTACAAAACAAATTCTTATGATATGACCATGCCAACTGAAAAATTAGAAGCAAGCATCAACTGAAAACAGAGAGTAATCAGCTAAGACACATTTTCAGACAAAAGGGTTTATTGCTTCTCTTATCGGCAGAGGTAGTGCATTAGAACTCTTAAAGCACACCAATCTTTTTTTTTTTTTTCCCATGTATTTTTGCTATATTGGTTTGAACAAAATTAAGTTCCAACTCAACTCTTTAATTGAGTCAAGCAAGAGGCTTTTCACACTTTTTCAAGCATAAAAAGAATATAAAATAAAATAAAAAATTGATTTCAAATACAGCAGTTTCATCTTGAACTACCCCCAAAATGAACCAGAACGTGTCTCTGATTTATTTGCCTCCAGAAAAATACTGAACCTTCTATCCAGTTTAGCATCAGCTTTTAGGGGTGTATATAATATAGTTTGATCATACACCATTGAAACTCTATTCATGTGAATACAGAGATCATTTTTTTACATAATGTATTCACTAAACAACCATTAATTGCAATAAAGTCGGGGCAAATCTCCACTCTGGGTCTAGAGCTACATCTACTGAAGCATTCAATGAAATTATATCTTCACTAAAAAGGTCTATAAAATTTGCCACAGAGGGTTATATCATAATTGGCCAATCTATTGGAGAAAACTACAAAGAAAAATCTCATGATTTGCATTATAAGTTCACTTTTGTCCTTTTCAAATACATCCACCTTGAGATAACCTTGTAGCTGTTCACATTCCTCGTACTCATCTTCTTTGAGTTCCAAACATTCCTTATTTCTCTATCTTCTACTGATGCATCCGCGTAGAAGTATATATTTAGCTGTCTTCATTCCATGAATACATATTTTTTTTACTTCCATAACATATATTTTACTAAATTTTTCAACCTCCAACATTTATAATACGATGATCATTTACCACTATTTCCATCAGCTTAATCACATCACACAGATATAAACTTATCAGGATGCTTCTTCATCATATTACTAATTCAAAGCCAATCCATGGTAAAAGAGTTGTTTCAAACATTAAGATAATATCATAAGAAGGAAAATTTCTTACATAATTGAAGTGACAAAAAATCTGATCATGTTAATTTCATTGGACATTAGTTTCTAGATTAGAATGGGATGCATATAGCATAAACAGTTAAAAATGTAAACAATGTTGCACGTAAAAATAGTCATCCTTTACATCTCTGTAGCCATTACTGCTTGTGATTATTTTAGCTATACTATGCTTCTTGTAATTATTTTACCCAAGCAAGCATAGAAAATTTTCAAGAAATAGATGAAGTGTGAGAAAAAAGAAACAACCTTGCCGAGACCAAGGCGCATGGTAAGGGGTCTAGCACGTTTATAGCTGCTATCAAATACTATTCCATCCGCAAACCTTGCAGTATAGTGGACCTGCAGCAAAATACCATAGAGTGAAGACATTTTTTGGCTTTCGGGAAAGGGAAAATCTTTAAAATCCATAAAGTTTCTATATAACTAGATAAGATGATTGATTTTGCCTGTCTTCCTATCAATCTACGACTTTTGATTTAGTCATGTCTTTCATTAAGCATGGGAGAGAACTGAAAATGAAAGTTGTTAAAATGACACCCATTTATTTCTTCTATTTTTCTTTCCTAGCACGAAATATCCTGACCAGTTGTCATAACATGAAATCTCTGCCATTAATTTCTCTACTTATATATTTTCTTGTCATTCCCGTTTTATCTCTTGATAACTGTTAGAATATGTGCATGATTGGCTCCAGCTCAAGCAGCTCACGTTCCCAGCATGTTCCACAGCTCAAACTAGCCTCTTCTAGATCCTTCTTCTAGCTATTAGTTTGTTAGATTTTACTCTATAAATAGAGCAATGTATTTCCATTATCACTTGAGTTTGATGATTAATAAAGTGTTCTTTTCCTTCAATATATTTTCATATTGAATCTATCCTTTTATTTTCTCAATATGGTATCAGAGCAGTTCAGTTTGCATCAAGAAATTATGGAGTTGTTTTTTACAGTTTTTACATTGATGTATTTCCTTTAGGGACGTTCCCAGCATGTTCAGCAGCTCATACTAACCTCTTCTAGATCCGTCTTCCAATACTTGGATCTCTGTTCCTTTCTCCAAGTTCAAGATGTTCCATCTTGAGGGGGGGAGTGTTAGAATATGTGCATGATTGGCTCCAGTTCAAGCAGCTCACGTTCCTAGAATGTTCAAGCAGCTTATACTAGCCTCTTCTAGATCCTTCTTCCAGCTGTTAGTTTGTTAGATTTTACTCTATAAATAGAGCAATGTATTTTCATTATCACTTGAGCTTGATGATTAATAAAGTGTTCTTCTTCTCAAGTTCCTTCAATATGTTTTCATATTGAATCTATCCTTTTATTTTCTCAATAATAACCTTAGCCAGTATAGTTAACATTACAATCTGGAATCATGAATATGTCTCAAAAACTAACCCAACAAATGGAACAAGTTCATTATTTCAAGCAGACTGTTTCTTTCCTAACCTACATTAAGAGTTGAAGTTATTGAAAGCGAATCCAAATTTGAATTTGATATATGATTATTCCAACCCCAAAGATCTGGCGCCACATAAAAAATGCAGCATAGTGTGATCCTGTTTTTGGGTAGCAAAGTCAACTCAAACAAGCAGAAATTTATAAATAATGATTCAATTCTCAATCATTTGGTTACACCTAGAACTTCCATTATTTATTTTAATTTCATCCTTTTACTTATGTGGTATCTAAATGAGTCCCTACCAGTTAATATAGAACATATCCATAGACTGAATATAAACTCCCAACTTAGAATAAGAGCTTTGAAGGGCTCTCTACTCCATACATATTGGTTTTGAGATGGATAATGTAATGTGAAATAGGGGCTAGTCTTGAGGTGTCCATCAGCAGGTTCTCGCATTGGAAATCACACCCTAGGCATTCTACCTAGGAAACTTGCTCTCTTGGATACACATCAAATACAGCATTACATACAGGTCAATGCCCCTTATATTCGAATTTCCGAGGCAGATGAGGTTTAGAAAGAATCCATCAAACAATGACAAATAAAGCCTAATTCCCACTAATTTGGGTCGAGTATATGAATAATTTTTTTCACTCTGTATGCTATATTTACTAGCAGATCTAATGTAGCTAGATCCTTAACAACCACAAGAGACCATGTCCTACCGTCTTCTAACCTACTCTAAGGAGGTCGCTCTTCAAACAAGAGCCTCTTTAGGTAATTTGATGAGTATAAATGCAAGAATATACAAGACAATTACTGAGTCCAGCATTAAAAAACGAAGATACCGAATATTTGTTTATGAGTTCACTTTATTGCTTGTGCGAAGATGGTGCACCACACCATCCGTACCCATTCACATGCCACGCAGACGCACTTCCATGGCATGTACAGTACCAATGGTGTCGTTTATTTAATTACATTTGAGTTTATAGTTAAATGAGATCATTACATCTATCATCTATGAAGGGGTACTTTATTTTTTTCTCCATCCACAAAGGATGAAATGCATAGGGACCATCCTTTTGTCGCAGTATGCTCCTTAGATTTATGAATTAGCCGGAGCTTCATGCCCTCTTAGTCGACTAACAATAACAAAGGCTTGCAAAACTAAGTTTTAATAACTGAGATTTGGAAAGAAAAATATATTTATCGTTCATGAAGAGAGATCAAAAGCACTAAAATAGGTAGAATTTTCTTCTATCAGAACACACGATCCCGGTCTTTGGTCATTTCTTTCTTCCCTCTTACTAAGATTTTACAAAGAAAATTAGTTTTTACAAAATAACTTCTTCCTTTTTGCAATGAAGACTATTCAAATTTCATTGTTAGAATTAACTTTGTTAGTGCAAATCATAGTCAATTCATGATACAAATTTCACAGACTCTGATCATAATCAGTTGGGAAGAACTCTGCTTTACGAAAAAGCGTCATTGCAGCATTCTTTAGAGATCCAAAATTCTAGTACTTAATTAATCAATTTCCAATAATCTTTATCCATTTAGAGTTTCAAAGTTATAATAAGAAACAACTTTTCAACAATCTTAAAGATTAGTCAAGGTGGGCACACATTATCAAATTACAGAGGTTCAAGGGGAGCAAGTGCAATTTCAAGTATTGTAGACACATTACATTTTCTTCTGGTGAAAATGAATGTTGCACACACGTTAAAATTAAGCAAGCTGTTAGATTAATCAATGAAACAATCACCTTTTGTGTTGAAATTATGTGTAAATTTCATGAACTCACATTGATAAGCTGACCGAAAGGAACCTCCTCTCCAGACCCAACAGCCAAATCACAGTATCCAAGTCCCGAACGAACGAAGTTGAACTCACAAGAAGGCTCAGAAAAAGTGGCGTAGTACTCTATTCTGGTGGCTTCAGCTTCCAGAGGGGTGGCTGCCACCACAGAAGCGGCCAAAAGTCCAATGCCCACTTGGAATATTTGCTTTTTAACACTGGAAATGGTATTTGTAGCACAATGTCGTGAAGATGAAGCTCTGGTTTTGAAGGTTTGCAGGTAACGGGATTTTGGTGTAATGACAGTTAATGGAGAGGTTGCTGCCATTTTTTGATCTTGTTAGGAAGATTTTGTAACTGTATTTTGAATTTGGGATATCCGGAGATTGTCTGCCCGGATGAGATTTCTGGGATAATGGTTATTTCAGTTGATGAAAGTGGGGATTGATTTTGGGTCGCAAGATGCTTTGGGTGGTCTAGTACTAGATAATGTTATGAAAACCGACCATAGCTAAGCTTAAGCTCGAAAGCAAATATGGGCCCTGCTTGGCTCTCATTTTTCATCCATAAAAATAAAAAATATGACCGTTATTAATTACATCGAGTTATCAATTTTGAATTTCTATCTCTTATGTGGGGTACAATAACGGCTATATTTTTCATTCTCATTCTAAAATAATGAGAATCAAATTGGGTGATAATAACTTACTTTTATTGTTAAACTATAATATATAATACTAGTGGTGTTAAGATTTGTAGTTCTATCATAAAAGTTGAACCTTATTACGAGGAGTAATCCAAATCTTTATAAATTTGTCTATATTTTCATTTTATTCGATATGTGATTTTATTTCTTAACATATTCCCCCGCAAGATGGTGGCTCGTTTGAACAGATCAATCTTGAAATTCGTGTATTCAATTTTTTTGAATCTTAATCTGATCGAATTGCTCATTAAAGTTTAATGAGCTTCGATACCATGTTAAGAGTTAGGGTTCCATCTTAAAATATCAACTTTATTAAGAGAAGTAACTCAAACCCTTATAAATTAGTCTATATTTTCATATTTATTCGATATGAAATTCCATCCCTCAATAACTAGAACATATAATTCAATATTTCTACTATCTAATAATTTATACAAAAAAATAAAAATAAAAAATAATTTCGAAGTTACATTGTAAAGAATTATCTATCTAATGTAGCCGTTTCTTCCCGATTGTCCTAATCTTGAACTGCATATACTGAAATACTTTATGATCAGTTACAACATAGGTGGAATTTGAAAAGTTAACAAAGAGAAATACACAAGTGAAAGACACTAAATTTATGTTTGTTAGACAAAGGTGGTCATCACCTATTTAATTTTTCATTGAAAATACATATCAATCTCATTGGAAATTTAGACAATAATTTACAAAGTTTTTAATTAATAAATAAATATTTTGTTCTTAAACTAATAATTTAATTTTTTTAGAGTGACCTAAATTTATTATGTTGTCGACAATTATTTTCTTCCTAATTCACTTACACTTGCATTCATAAATTAAATTCCCATATGCATGGCTTATAGGATTTCAAAGAATGTAAAGAACATCTAGTCGAAAACAATGAAGTTCATACGTGCACACTTTTTGAAGAATTAATCTACTTGTACAATGATGGATGACAAGGTTTCTTGACAATGTTTGATGTGGCAAAATCTGGACAATTTCTTTAAAAAACAATTTTTGAATTTTTTAAAAATGAATGAATGCGATGATGTCGAATCATAATTGTCAGCAAACCATGTCAACCATCACTGTACATGAATCGAGCAATTTACGGACTCTAAAAACCAATATTCCACATTTGGTGGTGCCGAATAATAACAAGTGTCTACAAACAACCTTGTCCAATCACGACCTCTTCTTTATGCCTACTTTTCATTTCCCTAACAATCGGCCCTTTTCCACAACCTATTATCCCCTCTACCTTGCAACCTGATCCACCCCAACCCACCCTATTCCATCGTCCAAAACATCTTCATTTTCCCCAGGATACATTTCCTTGTATTCAAAATTCTAAATCTAATTTTATTTTGTTGGTCATACATAGATTCTTAAACAAATAATTATGGGGCGAAGTAAGCTTCCGATTAAGAAAATAGAGAATGTTACCAATAGACAGGTTACATTCTCCAAACGCAGATATGGCCTCATTAAGAAAGCTTATGAAATTGCAGTTTTGTGCGACATTGATTTAGCTTTGATCATGTTCTCTCCTTCTGGTCGCCTTAGCCATTTCTCTGGTAGAAAAAGGTTAGAAGATTATATTAATAAATTGTTTTTCATGATGTAATGCAGGTTCTTAGGAGAATTATGAAAATTATTTAATTTTTTTTCTAATTGTTTTTTTTTTTTTTTGATAGAGTCGAAGATGTGATTTATCGATATATTAATCTCTCTGATCATGATAGAGGAGGGTAATATTTCTCACTTTTGCGTTTTGAAAATTATGCGACGTAAACAAGAATGTTACTCAATATCGTGTTTTTTCTATTGCAGGATTATCCAGAATAGAGAGGTAAATTATTTTGGCCAAATATTGTTTATGCTACAAGTAATAGAAAAAATGTTATTATTTATTTTTTTCCTGGATTATTTTTACACTCAAACTGATTTTCAATGATCATGCAGTATATAATCAACACCATAATGAAAATCAAAACTGAAAAGGACGTTGAAATACAAAGGTATTTCTCCTTCCAAATAAATGCCTTTATAATTTTGAGGTTTTTTTTTTATTTTTGGAACTTGGCTTGTTCTTTGATTAATTATAATTTGACATTTGGATCAGTCCTGCAGCTCCTGGCTCTAATTCAGAGGTAAAGAAAACTTCTTATTATCCATCTGGGTGGAATTACAATTTTTTTTCATCATAACCAAATTAAATTTCTTATTTCAGGAAATTCAGCAAGAAATCTCTGACTTGCAACATCAACTTGAGAGTGCTCAAGAACTACTTAGGTACTCAGTTTGAGGTGGAAGAAATTGATTCATCTTATAAACTCATTATCTTACGAGGAATTTATTTAAATAGGATAAGTTGGAGCATCACTAATTAATTTCATTACAATGATATCATACACCCATAGTCATTAAACATTTAACAAAATGTCACACTTTTAGATGATAATTTTCTTTTTTCTCGAAGAGTATTTGAACCAGACTCCGAAAGATTTACATCGTTAAGTGAATTTCAATCATGTGAAGCGCGACTTTTGGAAGCCTTACGTCGTGTCACTCAGAGAAAGGTGATCTTTAAATATATATTAGGAGAAGTAGCACAATTATTTTTTAAATTTCTTTGCAATTTCCTAACGGATATACGTATTTTTAACTATGCTAAACAATTTTGGGTTTCAGAGAAACCTGGTGAACAAGGTGGAGCAGCAATCAAGTTATCAAGACACCATACAGGTAATTCATATGTTTCTATGGGATTATGTTAGTCCTTTTTATTCACATTTCCATTTAAAGGAAATAATTTTTCATTTTCTGTTTACAAAAGCAAATAAATACAGTGGTCCAATACATCAGCGAAGCACACACACAGGGAGTAAATACCTCACTACTTGATGATCATGCCATTGACTTAAACTATGGGAATCATATGAATACTGGCTCTGATGCATCTTCTGCTGCTCTAAGGTCTCAACTTATTCCCATATGACAAATTACTATACTTTTATTTAATTATAAGTCTATACAATTCTAAGTATAGAATTTTTCAATTATTTATGAACTCCTCATTCTTCTTTGTGTCTAATTTAAGGGACCAGTCATCGCCAACTATGTATGAATCTGTGTCCCAAACAAGTGTGAATGAAAATTTGCAGAATGCTGAAGGTTGTCACAATAGCAACCCCATTAGCCATGACAGCTTTCAACAAATGCATCTCTCTAAAGATTTCTTTAATGCTCTATTGCCTCCAGAAACCTCAGGTTATTTGGACAAGGTCCTCTTTTCTGAGCAATAAACGTTTTTATTATTCATTAAACTATGTTATGGTTGTTACATGTTGGACTACGTCCAGTTTTCTTATACTACACATTACTCCATACGGATCGACCTAATATTTTTATTGCGTTAAAGGGTTTTTATGGTGCCATTAAGTTATATGTTTGAAGTATATCCACCATTATCTATTTTCGTAGATCGAGACCAATGCTATTAAAAGTAACGACGATTTATAGAATTTCAATCTATTTTTCTTCTTTAATTTCATTTAATATTCTCTAGTTGACGCTTATCGACATGTCAATGAAATATATATTTTATGAAATGGCTGCAGGTTAAAATGGAGAGTCCAAGAGAAGCGCTCGTTGCATTAAATCAGCAAATTGCCATTTCATCGGAGTTATTGCCTAGCCACCAGCTGTCATCAGGTGAACTGCATCCATAAGCCAGGGTTAATGCAAATTTGAGCTCGAAGATGGAATATCAGTGCAGTACCATCATCGTTTCACAATCTCTATAGTTAGTGGTTAATTTGGAACACAAACATGTTTTCTATTACATTCAAATTTTAATATACAGTTTCTCGGTAAATTATTTTAATAACACCGTTTTAATAATTTGTTTATCTAACCTTTGAAAGAATTTAAAATTTTTTTATAAAAAAAGGAAAGCATGCATGCTTTTTGGCTTGCATTAAGTGGTTAAAATAAGGCTGATCGTCTTTTTTTCATGCAATCAATAATCGCTCATGAAGGTGTGTCCCTATAATTCCATGTGAATCACTAACCTTTATTGATTTTATAAGTTAGAATCACTAAGATTCATAATGTCATCTCTATGGATCCTTTGAAAAAGAGATTAGTCCTCTTTCCAAAACCTTTATGTATGCTACAAAATATTTACACGAAACTACAAATTATCCCTCACAGTCCATGACTATCTGGGACTGTTAAGATTTGAGACTCCATCTTAAAAGGTCAACCTTATTGAGAAGAGTAACACAAACTCTTATAAATTGATCTATGTTTTCATCTTTATTCAATACGAGATTTTATCCCTTAACATGAACAAAGAAAATATAATGAGAAGACTCCTATTTACGGGACATAGCTAACTAATAATATTCCCAATCGGAAAAGATAAACCAAATCCTATAATACAAACCTGTACACTATCCAATTCCTAATCATAGAGCTCAACGTAGATGTAGAGCTTTCTGATTGAACCATGGGAAAACCACCCTCGTGTCTTCTTTATGTGATTCTTGAGAGGGTATTGCGATTATTTTAGGAGGGGATTAAAAGTAAACCTTAAGGCTTAACAGGTAACTATGCAAGAAGATGTATTTTACCGTCTTCTATCAAATCATCTTCCAACATAGTCACATGTTTTGAATTCAAAAATCACAATCAAGCTGCTAAGCTATGGCGTAAATACAAGAGATGTTCCGACAATCACATGTAGACGAATCGCAATTTATTAAGCCCTTGTCTTAATAAGATTATGATAAAAACTTCAGTCATCGGTGTCATTACATAGAATCCATATTGAAGAAAAGTTCGCAATTATTTTCTATTTATGTCCTAAATTAGAGCAAAGTTAAATAAGAAAAGAGTTGGCGCCATGCAAACCAAGCTCCATATATTTAACATCCCTACTCGATATTATTATTAAAATCAGTTACGCTAAAGTTCTCTTCCCAAAGAGACTCGTCCCAATCCCATGAGCCGGTTTTCTGAATCTTCGAGGGCCAGAAGCTGCTGTCTCCCAGAATATCCTGTCGAAGACAAGAACAAGGAAAATGAATAGTAGTCTTCATCATTTGAACTTGCTAGTAACTAGTAACTGGACTTTATTTTGCAAGAAAACAATCTTATTATTGTTCTTTTCCCCATCTTCTAGTGAAATTAATGATATATTAGTATATAATTAACAATCTTTTTGACTCGCCTGATCTGTTGGAAGGCTACCAATCAGTTCGTCTTGGCCTACTTCTTGGAGAGGAGGGACCACATATGACGCTTGTGATTCATCTTCCTTATTAATGTCTTCATTGAAGTTTCCAGTTCCATTTTCATAGACATTAATGTTATTGCCATTTCCGTTGCTACTGCTGCCTCTGCTAAAGTAAATACTAGAATCCAGGTTAGGCAGCATCAGCCTTATTTCTTCTCCTCGCATGCTGGTGAAATTGCTTAATTTTGAACCTGCATATACGAATCCAGTTTCTGTCTGGTAATACTGTGATTGAGGCATCTCCACACTCTTGCCAACATCACTAGTATTGATTGCTGTTGTTGATGTGAATCTAGAAACAAGTTGAAAGTTTCCAAGGGAGATTCTTGTTATATTTATTTTGTAAGCCGAAAATAGAAGAAAAAGAGAACAAGAACGAAAAGGCAAAGAGTCGGTGGGGGTGAAATTCATGGTAAATGTATGATCTCTGATTTTTACCTTGGAGGCATGAAGTTGAATGGGTTCTGAACGAAGTTGTGATTTACATCTGAGGAAGCCACCTGCAAAGATTTTTAATCCGTGTGATGCATTAGTTAGGTCTCATTTCGTTGATCCTAAGGGGAAAATTGCATATCCATCAATATAATTATGTGATAAAATTTCTTTGACAATAGATATACCGCAAAGAAATTCTTCCAAGAATCAACGTCTTGATCAGGGAAGTTGAGTAGGGATTGATCGGCCATTGATGATTTCTGCAGTGAATTTGCAGGTTCTTAGCAAATATACTTATATAAGTTGTCCAAATTCTTCAAGATATATATGATGGAAAATTAGTACCTGTTGTGGAATGTAGGCTGCAGGTGGGATTTGAGCTTGTGGAGTCAATGCAGTACCTGATTCAAAAAAGGCAGAAGAACTAGCCATGGGAAAATTGGATATGTTTGATGGCCCTGGATTATAAACCGGTTCACGTTTTCCTTCATCAAGTAAGTTTTGAAGCATGTTCTCACGAGCTTTTGCACTATTGAGAAGATCACACACACCAAAATCAGGGTTTAGTCAGCTGTTTTAACTTTCTTAAACTTCTATTTTTTATGTACACTGTAAAGGACTATAGTACTGTAGTGGACTCTTGCATTAGCATTAATATTTCATAAAGATGGATTGAAATTAATAGACCTCAAGAACAAGAATATATACATGGATTGTGATTATTTCTGATTCAAAGAATAATATACAGTATGAATCAAGAGGTGGAAAACTACTGCCCATTCTCTTCTTTACCAGAGAAATGCTTTTGCATTATAAATTCTCTATTTGAAAAGAGAAGCAAAAAGATCGTATAATTTCAAATAATATCAAAAGAAAACCAGAATAAATCTACCTGTATGGACTGATCCAAGGATCAAGTTCCGTCAAAATCCGACAGGAAGAAGGGTTTTGCATTGCTGAAGTAAGATCATCTTCGTTGAAATGAGAAGCTAACGGCACTCCATTGTTCTGAATCTCCATTTGATCCATCAGAACAAGATTCTGAAATGCATTAAATTTTCACAAATATAAATGACTTCACATCTTTCATACAATTCTATCACATATTGTATGTGTATACCTGAAATAACGGTCGCTGATTGGATGCAGATAATCCTAACAATGCATTCTGGCATGAATGAGTAGCATTATTAGAGAACGATGATCTTACACAAGAAAACATAATTATTTTTTTTGTATGACCATTGAATAAAGTTAATTAAGAAAGAATAATTACTTTTGTAGCCATGACTCTTTCCAGAGAGCGTTGCAGGTTTCTCTCACACCATAACAGTTGATACAGTGAAGTTTCTTGCTCCAGGCCTGGTTCATAATCCCTGAACCACAAGACGGTATATAAACGAAAGATTGTAATTTAACGCATGGAAGACCATTAATCTGAACCTTAATCACATCATTACCTGAGACCAGCTTCCAAGATTTGTAGCTCTAGACTTTTCTTCTTAATTTGCAGTTCCAAATTCTGGTTCGACATGAAATTTGAAGTTTAATTTAATCAATTCATTACTATATGCAAAACTATGTAGTTATAGTATATCCGTACCTCAGTTCTGGAGTCAGCATATGCCATGATCAGACACCGGATGAAGTTGTCGATGTAGATATTCATCATAATCAAATTGTTTTAAGTTAGAAACTAAAGTAGTTATTGCTGGAGAAACAAATTTAAGCTTCAATCCATTCAGTTCAGATATAAATATGAAGTATTCATACAGAATAAAATTTTGTGCACATTAATTTCTGGATGATTACACAACAAAAGCTTATTAAATTTTTCTTTCTAATTTTTTTGAATGGAAAAGATTAATAATTTCTAATTACTACTTTTTCTAAATAATAAATGCAGAGATCTGTATTTTCCAATGCTATTATGCACGAATTATGATCAAGAAAAGGTTGATAATCATATTAATTAGTCGAGCGTTGAGATTTTGACTTTTTTACGTGTCTCAATTACTACGTAAAAATTTACTCTTGTATTGTTTCTTAATTTTATTGTATTTCACTTTTAATTAATGATAAACACGTCTCTACATTGCAATTGCGACAATTAAAATTATGCAGGCAAACACATTACTAAGACTTCATACAAGCTTTACCGTGAGAAGACTTAAATTTAAGACCTTAAAATTTAGAGACTCAAAGTAACTTGGTTACCAAGAAATAAAAAAGTAACTTCTATTCTGGAACATAAACTTTTCTTAATATTCGGGGATTTTAAAAAACACACACGCATATACGGTGCATTTACACTTTACATATCATATTTTTAAAATTGACATTTTACATAACATAACAAAATACAACGTGTTTTGTCTTTATAAATAGCTAAACATACGAATTTCCCCTTAGTAAAAATTAAAAATCACACCATATAAATTGCGATAATTACCACTTTACATACCATTTTAAAAAATTTAAATTACTATTTTTTCTAATTCGAAAAACTAATTTTCTATCTCCCTTTCCTCTATCTTCTAAATAATTCATTTATGGTAATATAACTTTTTGTATTAGTAATATAACTTTTTGTATTTTCATTTATTGCACATAATTATAATAATTTATTAGCAATATTTATATTTGCACTCTCTTATATCAAGCTTCGTTGAAAAAAAGAGAGGAAAAACCATATCCACAATAAAAACCAACTTAAGAATGAATTTTTTAAAACTTTGTAAGTTAAAAAATAATATAAATCTGATAACTTCTTGAAATGAATAAGAATATAATTTTAAACATCAAACTAATATAAAAATATCTCACTTTAACAAAACTTATTATTCTTTGTATATCACAACAAAGAATTTTCATTTTATAATGCTGGAACTAAAAATTGAATAAAGTCGTTTATATAAATTTCAATAGATTATTACATTTAGTTTCTTGTTTATTTCAATTTAGAGTTCGTGGAAAATGAAGGTAAGAAAAAAA